CATATATATATATGATTCAACGCTGAAGGTGCACAGAACGCTGTTCCCTTCCCACCAAAGGTGGCTCCTATTTTTCTACTTGCATTTTTACGTGCTTTCGAACTGCTAGGTTGGCAGAAGCTGGGACAAGTCACGGGCGCTGGGGATTCGAACCACCGAACTGCTGACCTTTCTGATCGACAAGCTCAGCGTCTTAGCCACTGAGCCACCGCGTCCCTTATTGTTATAGAAATGGCTAGTTTATATTTATATTACTATGTAAAAGTAAACAAAAATGGTGTTTGATGCTGTAACCTTGTTCTAGTACACCAAACTCATTTTTTTTCTTTTCCCCTCTTTCTCTACACATTTCCCTTCCCTTCTCCCTCATTTTCCCACTTTTTCTTTTGTATTTTATATTATAAATTAGTTGGTGTTTTTTTTTTAAATCAGTTAAAAGAAGCATATCTGACCAAACCCTCATTCTCAAAATTCTCAAGAGTAAACAAACAGGAGTTTTACCTGAAAATCTTTGCGGTGGCACTGTAGCTGTATTTAAAAAAAAAACAAGAACAAGCAGTTTCAGAGAATGGTGAGGATGGTTTACTAATTAAACAAGGGAGGGAGGGATGGATGGATGGATAGATAAAACATCTCCATGTTCCCCGCACTTATTAAAACACAACATACAAGTATCATTATACCCTGTTTCCCCAAAAATAAGACCTCCACGGATAAATAAGCCCAATCGGGCTTTTGAGCGCATGTGCTGAAATAAGCCCTCCCCTGAAAATAAGCCATCCCCAAAAATATTGCAACCCAGCAGGAGCCGTGAGGTGACCACGCTCGCCGCCTCCTGCACCTCAAAAATAATAAGACCTCCCCGAAAATAAGACCAAGCACTTATTTCAGGGGTCAAAAGAAAATAAGACCCTGTCTTATTTTCAGGGGAAAATAGTAAATTTATAATAAGTCAGGTCGTATTAATTCTATTCTTGGTGTGGATTAGGCCAAAACTTCTTCTGGGCAATTCCATTGCAAGATAATCTGGAGACTTCCAAAAATCATCATCCTCTTTTAACGACCCCATAATCCCTGTGGGATGGAGTCTGTGCAACTGAATGGAGCTTAGTGTTTACTGGCCAGATGCCCTTCCCTGTCACCATTGCGGAGTTTTGTTCGGCAGATACAGTATATTCTCAGTATGGCCAAAAAGAGAAATATCGGTCTCTACCTAATATCAAACTCACAGCCACCTGATTGTGAGGTGAGAGCGCCTCCTCTAGGCCACCGCACCACTCCTTGAGATTTCCAAAAACTATCCTTTCAAACTTGACCAGAAATCGTCAATCTGCTCCCGGATTGATATGGCCCAAAAAGATCTCTGACATTGTTGTACCAGTGAAACTATTGTGAGTATTAGCAAAAACCCTCAGTCTCTCAAAAGCGTGTCTAAGGTTGAAACATTATTTAATTCAACCAAGCTTATTCTGAGTCTCTGCACTGCCCAAGGAATAAATCCATTCTACTCAACGGGCTTACTTCTGAGTAAACTTGCCTTAAAGGTAAAGGTTCCCCTCACACATCTGTGCTAGTCGTTCCCAACTCTAGAGGACGGTGCTCCTCTCAGTTTCAAAGCCGAAGAGCCAGCGCTGTCCGAAGACGTCTCCGTGGTCATGTGGCCGGCAAGACTAAACGCCGAAGGCGCACGGAACACCATTCCCTTCCCACCAAAGGTGGTTCCTATTTTTCTAGTTGCATTTTTTACGTGCTTTCAAACTGCTAAGTCGGCAGAAGCTGGGACAAGTCACGGGAGCTCACTCCGTTACGCGGCACTAGGGATTCGAACCGCCGACATTCTCAGCGTCTTAGCCACTGAGTCATCGCGTCCCACTAATCTTGCTTACGCATGGTGTAAAAATATATATCTGTCTGAAATCATGAAACACCCAACGATCAGGCCACAAATTCAGGCGATATGTTCAACATCAGAAACTGCCTCCGGTTCTAAAAATGGCTTCATTCAACCATCAAAGACTTGTGAAGAAGGCCAGGCTCCCTACGCACTTCCACAGCTTCGTTCTTCCCTCCCGACAACACAACTTACTTCTTTGGCAAGGCTGGCAACCTAGGAAGGAGAAGGCTGGACTCATCTTCCGCATTATAAAACGAAGTGAGGACACTGGAATGAAAGGAGGACACTCGGATTTAGCACCCGGAAGATCCTGGCATCTTCCCAAAACAATTCTCTTTCAACAATTAAACATTTGCAATCACATTCATTATTTAATCTCCTCTTAGCTTAATTTCCAATACCTTAAATGTCTGGTGCTATAACGACCCTCATCATGATTTATTTAACTCTATTAATGATATTAACTATTAATACATTTTCTATGTTTTACACAACTTCTTTTACTATTAATTCGTATGTCTGTTCTCTAACCAGCGGTAAAATGATTCCCAAGTTGTATAATAATCGGTATGTTCTTTCTCTTTATTTATTTCTTTAAACAGTTTTTATTAACCATTTTAACCTTTAAAAACAGAAAAAACAACAACAAATACAGAGAAAATAACAATCTAAGATAGTTTTACAGCCTTTTGTATCGGCATAAAAGTTTAGCTTTTGTGGTTCTCTATTCTACATCTCTATTCTTATCGGTTTTAACATCTGTAATAGAGTAATAACAGTTGTACTAACAATTGCAATAATATTAATTGTTCACATCACCATTATATTTACATTATGGTCAATACTTTTAAGTTTGATAGTAATTAGTAACTTTGGTTAATTTTTATTCAATACTAGTTTTTAAAAAAAACAGAGATTTCTATTTCCTGTTCTGGCTTCTGTTTTCTAGCCACTTATACATTCTATTCCATATTTTATAATAATCCGATTCTTCTCTTTCTCTTAACTCCAAGGTCATTTTGTCCATCTCTGCACAATCGAGGACCTTTCTAATTATTGTTTCGTCCGCGGGTGCACTGATTGATTTGTTTCTAGTTTTGTGCAAAGGGAATCCTAACTGAAGCGAGTCTGTGTATTTATTATGAATTGAGATTTATTGTCCATTTTCGGGTCTAATATTCCTAATAAGAACGATTCCAGTTTCAGAGAGTTTAGAGAGTTTATTAACATTTATAGGCCGCCCTTTTCCCTGAGGGGACTCAGGGCGGCTTACATAAAATCAGGAGGGGGGAATACAAACAATGACATAGACACACATAGAGTAAAAATAATGAGCAACATTCATTCATCATTCGGGAGGGGCGGCTATCTTTGTCCCCAGGCCTGACGGGCTAGCCAGGTCTTGAGGGCTATGCGGAAGGCCTGNATGGTCTCTTGTGACGAGCCGATAGACAGAGAATGGAAGCAGTAAAACTTTCTCCCATATTTGGGCATACCAGGGGTTGCGACTCTAAAATACATACCTATTTCCCTGGCTCAGCTGATAAGGAGAAGGACCTGGTGGCTTAGTGGTTGTATATATATATACAATTTGGGTTTTTAAAACGGGGGAATAACGGTGGAATGAATGTTCCTTCTCAAAATATTAAGAGTCTGGGCTCATTAAAAGTCAGCCAGTTCGATCCAGTGCAGGGGTGTCAAACTGGATTTCTTCAAGGGACGAATCAGCATTGTAGTTCTCCGCGGCCCAGCCGAGGGGGGGGGGGGAAGACAGGACGGACGCCTCCTGCAGCACCCTGCCTGCCAAAACGGGGGCACGGGGGGAATGTGAGATCCCCCGCACCCCATTTTCGGCCTGGATGGTCTCCCCTGCAACCCCCTGCTGGCCAAAATGGGGTATGGGAGGTTATGCGTGGCCCCTGGTTCTTGCCTGGATGGCCGCCTGCAACCCCCTGCCGGCCAAAACGGGGTACGTGGAGCCCGTGATTGGGTTCCGTATCCAGGGAGGTCTTATTTTCAGAGAAACAGGGTAGTGGAGCTCACAAAACAAATAAACGTAGGACCAGATTGGGAGGAAACAAAGCAAAATAATTATATGCTGCCGGTGAATTCCCAGAAGACATTGGTAGAATATATTCCAAAGTTAGCGCATGATCGCTTTCTTTTAATGACCCCATAATCCCTTGCAAGGGGGGGGGGTGGAGTCTGGGCAACTGAATGGAGCTGAGTGTTTACTGGCCGGATGCCTTTCCCTGTTGCCAATGCGGAGTATTCCGCAGATATATTCCCACTGTGCCCAGAGAGAGAAATATCGGCCTCTACCTAGGATTGAACTCACAATCTCCTGAATGCGAGGCGAGAGCTCCACCTCTAGCCCACCGCACCAAAGTTAGCTTGTGGGGCTCTTATCCAAATAAGACCTGGGAAAGTTCTTGACACCCCACAGAAGAAAACGGCGCATGAAAACCATTGAATGGCTGTTTATCGTCCACTCACTTGGAAGTAGGTTATTTCGGGATCGGAGTCCGGACAATCGTCTACTTCTGTCACAACCGAAAGTGACTTCAGGTCGCTGGATAAGCACAGCGCAAGGCAGGAACCTGTCACCTGGAACGATCAGATGGCAAAAATCACAAACCACATTTTCTTTAACACCCTGTTTCCCCGAAAATAAGGCCTCCCCAGATAATAAGGCCAATCAGGCTTTTGAGCGCATACACTGAAATAAGCCCTCCCCGAAAAATGTTTCGCTTCTCATCCAAGAAGCTTCTTCAGTTCAGAAGTTCCAAAATAGTTTCCTTAAAAACGTTTCCCTTCTTACACAAGAAGCTTCTTCAGTTCAGAAGAACGGCCCTTCTTTTCTGAAGAACTGAAGAAGCTTCTCGGATGAGAAGCAAAATGTTTTCAAGGGGAAAAAAAAAACACAAGAAAGACCAGTGGCCTTTTGGAAAAGCACCTCTGGCGGCCCGGAAGGGAAGAACATTTTTACTGAACAATTGTGACAGCGAAAGGCACTACATACCCCTGTTATGCTCGCAATCTTGTACATTCCGTAAGCATAGATCTCAATGAACCCATCAATGCCTCCAAGAACCAGGGCATTAAGCCTACAGAGAAAAGATAAAAAGAGAGTCAGAGAGAGAGAGAGAGAGAGAGAGAGAGAGAGAGAGAG